TATCGTGTTGCCCCTTTTAGTGGTCAAGGACGTCGTAGCGCCCCAGAACATGGCGGCAATTTTCGTCCAGATAAAGAATCGTGACCGAGGTATCCGAGAGGATGTCTTGACAAATGATATGCGGAGTGTGGCACGAGAGTTAGGATTACCCTGGGCTCGATGCATTATTGGGTGATCCAACGAGTGTCACAGTCGCAGGTCATTCCCTTGGATGCGAATTGCGCGTCATTGACCTTCGGGGATCTGACCAGAATCTTTGGAGAGGAATGCCGGTGCATTCTTGATGAGCTGCTCTGTGACCAGCACAACTTGCTGGACTACGTTGACCAATAGAACAGATCGAAACTGAACGGTTGTTTTATACTCAAATCACACGTTTATGTTAGCGAAGAAGCCAACAGGCGGACCGTCGATCCCCGAAGCGCTCGGCAAGACCCATCCCTCCTCCTCGCCGACGGACCAGCAAGCTGCTGATGCGACCTACATAGTTGACACGGCCCTCTGACATACGTTGGCCGACCAACAATTAAAGAGACCCTCCCGCGAGAGGATCGTCTCGGTGAGTTGGTCGTTCTCCTCCCTGAGAACCCCTTTCCTTGCGGTTGAGGAGTTGAATTCGTCTGGAAAAATTGTGCGTGTGTTTGTTTGCACACACTTTTTATGCGCGCATCGTGAGTCGCAAAAATCACAAGTTGGCTCTCGGTCTCATGAATCACCAATCGAGCACCAGGTGACTCGGTGGTCCCGCCACCCGGCATCCTGTCGCCACTTCGTCCTTCAACTAGCCGCGGTCCACTGCGACATGACTGCAGCCCCAAACCAATCAGCTATCACCTCCACTTCGCTGTCTGCCTCTTCTTCGTTGCCGTCTGATCAGCGAAGCCTTCACCTTCAACTGAAATGTACACGTCATTGATCGAATAGCAACCCTCCACCTCCTGGCCGTTCTCGGTGCTACCCCGCCGGCTCGTGAGTCTACTGTTGCTAGCCCCTCGTCGCCACCATCCCTCTTGTGCTTGCCTGGTCGCTCATGGTGGTGTAGGTCGGTCGTGTCGTTCGCCTTCCGCTGGCCATTACCACGACCTCGGCAGGCTCTGTGACGAGCAGGTGACCACTTACACCACCACGGGCGACCAGGCAACCACGAGGGAATGTTGGCGACGAGGGACCCGCAACAGCAAGCCCACGAGCCGGCGGGGGTAGCACGCGCACTCGGTCTCGAACCTTGAGCAATTCGGCTCAGGTTGTAAGACGTAACAATTGTGGCAAGTCAGTTCAGTTTTTTTGGCTTAAATTTCTGACGAAGACAAGTACTGCGCTACGCTTGGTCAGTGTGCCGGGGTCTGTGGCACTGGCGGCGTTTGTCGATCCCAATGGGAAGTTGTCTTCTACCGATGGCTGTATTGCGAGGATGGCCGTCGTCTCTGACGGGAAGGGCGCAGCTGAAGTTGTGGTGTTGGCCCCTCCGTCAGAGTTGCTGGAGTCCTGCCTTACTGATTACGACTGGCTTAGTCGTTGGAACCGGCGCCGCGTCTACCACCCGCCCGGGGAATCCGAAAAGCAAGCGAAGGCCTCTGCTCGCATCGAGAGCTTGCTTGCTCGGGCCATGAAGAACCATCTGCACGACGCGGATCCATCAGCCGCCAATGCGGCCCTGAAGAAAGCATTCGGCAAGAAGCTGATGGAATGGCTGGAGACTGAGAATGCCGGAGACACCGAGGTTGACTGGAGCAAGAAGCTGGAGATCACTGATGTGAGGCCGCTAGATGCAGATGAACAAGAACAAGTCCGGGATCAAGTTCCAGCTAAGTGGCTTCCGAAAATACAGGATTCGATGTCTTTCATGAATTGTATTGAGATCGAGGGCCAGGCCATTCGCGAAAGAAGCGAAGGCTTCTGGCGACGCCCGGGGTTGTCCAAACGTCTTGGTATTGCTGGTGTTGCGACTGTAAGTGGCCTGACGATCACTGGGTTACTACTATACCGTTTTGGTTCTCGGGATGGTAGTCTCCCCCCGTTATCACCGAGAGTAGCAACAAACAGTTCCTCTCCATCGAACACCACGGCCTACAGCTCGTCTCCAACCCACTCTACTCTATCCGGCACTGCGACCCCAGGCAACACGGCCACCAGCTCTTCGTTACTCACGACGCGATTCCCATCCAAGACGCAACTACCGTCCTCGGCGCTCCACCCGTATGAGGCCGAGGCCTTGAAGTACCAGCGGGCACTGGCGTATGATTGTTTAGCCGTGTCCGAGTCCGACTTGGTAAACCAGTGCCACCCGAATCCGGAAAA